TTTCTAAAGTCTCAACATCTTTTTTACATCGCGGTGACCAAAACTGGATGCAGTATTCCAAGTGTGGCCTTACCAAGGCATTGTAAAGTGGTATTAACACTTCACGTGATCTTGATTCTATCCCTCTGTTAATGCAGCCTAGCACTGTGTTGGCCTTTTTGGCAGCTGCAGCACACTGCTGGCTCATATTTAGGTGATTTAGGTGATTTAGGTGATTTAGGTGATCGGTTGCTTAACAATCATTCGAAGTTATGACAGACTCGGAAAAAAAAGTTATTTGGGACCCATAATTATAATGGTGGTAGGTCAGTCATAATAAAATTATGACTGACATACCATCCCCCCCATGGTTACATGAGCGCATTTCAGGTACTTGAAAACTGGCTTTCATTAATGAACAGTTCCTGAGATATTTTTGACCTCGTGTTCCGTCATGAGGTTGCATTTCATGACTTCTTTTGCTGTTTTGGATAAGCCGGATTCAGAGTTACTACCATATGATTTGCATAGTGACTGCAGTGCCTCACTTAACATCCACTGTAAAAACAATCGTAAAATCAAGGCTGGTCACATGGTGATTCGACTTACAACTGCAAAAATTTACAACCAACATTCCAAGCCCAGTTGTTAAGGTCTATCTGTAAATTGTCTTTGATTGCAATGTATGTGCTTGCATGCTTTCAAGTTCCAATTTAGTAATATATACATATATAGTAATACAACCCCTAACAATGATGATTGAAGTGAACAGTTGCTGAAGGGAAAAAAAAATAAAAACATGATATGTGCCATTATTTAAAAATGAATGGCTGCAGGAACCTGAATTTAAAGGTTGGCTAGGAAAAAAAAAAAGGCAATGCTAATGAAAAGAACAGCTACTGCATGTGTTGTAAAATTTCACTTAAGGAGGCAAAAAAGTCAACGTTGTTAACTCACAGAAGTACTGGAAAAAATTAAGAAAAATGTTGAAGCTGCAAATTCTGTAGTATCTTCCACCTCTTTCTTAACGGGGAAGACAACCTCAGAAAGTGAAACAGTTGCTGAAGTTGCTGATTATTTTTCAGAACATCGTGTGAGTTGCACAAGTGAATCATCTTCTTCAAGTGGCACTCCCAGATATTGCCAAAACTTAAATATGGAAAGATCAAAGCTTTCACATACCACACAGCTTGGCATCGGGTGTGTCAAGTTAACTAGGAAGATAGCAGA